CGAAAGCCCCGTTCGTAAGTGCGGATCCGACATAAGTCGGATCCGCGTAAGTCGGAGACTGCCTGTATTCAAGATAGCTAAGTCTAAAGCTTACTGTGAAGAATTACCAATGGATCTCACAATGCTGACTAACTGGGCAGCAAAATGACAGATAATGTTCAGTGTTGATAAATGCAAAGTATGCATATTGGAAAACATAATGAAAGCCCCGTTCGTAAGTGCGGATCCGACATAAGTCGGATCCGCGTAAGTCGGAGACTGCCTGTATTCAAGATAGCTAAGTCTAAAGCTTACTGTGAAGAATTACCAATGGATCTCACAATGCTGACTAACTGGGCAGCAAAATGACAGATAATGTTCAGTGTTGATAAATGCAAAGTATGCATATTGGAAAACATAATCCCAACTCTACATACAAATTGCTGAGTCTAAATTAGCTGTTACCACTCAAGAAGTCTTGCAGTCATTGTATCTAGTTCTTTGAAAACATCTGCTCACTATGGCATTAAAGAAAACTGACAATATTAGGAATAATTGAAGAAAGGATAGATAATAAGCAGGGCTTGCCAAACCATGGTGAGCCCTGCTCGCCAGCCGCGCTGTCCGGCGATCTGCAGACGAACCCGAACCCGGCTCTTCTGGGTTCTATTGCATTATTTGTCGAGCCCTGATAATAAGACAGAAAATATCATAGAGCCTCTATAAACTCATGGTACACTCACACTTGCAATCCTGCATGCAGTTCTGGTTGCCTTCTCTCAAAAAAGTTATACTAGAATTGGAAAAGATAGAGAGAAGGACTGCAGAAATGCAGAGGGGTATGGAACAGCTTTCATATGGGGATAGATTAAAAAATCTGAGACTTGTTTAATTTAGAAAATAGATGAGTAAGGTTGGTATGACAAAGATCTATAAAATGAATGGTACAGAGACAATAAATAGATCAGCATTATTTACTGTATCACATAACACAAGAACAAGGGGTTCCCAATGAAATTAATAGGCATTAAGTTTAAAATTAATAAAGTGCGTTTTAATCCAACATGGTCCATTTGTGGAGCTTGGCACTAGGCGATGATAGAAAGGGCAAAAATATAACTGGGTTTAAAAAAGAATTAGATAAGTTCATGGAGGATTGATTCATCAATTGGTGTTAGCTAGGATGGTCAGAGATGCAATCACATGCTCTGGGAGTTCCTAGCTTCTGATTTCTAGAAGCTGGGAGTGGGCAGCAGGGACAGACCACTCAATAATTGCCCCAGTTTATCTATTCCCTTTGAAGTGTTTGATACTAGCCTCTGTTGGAAGACAGGATACTGGGCTTGATAGACAATTGGTCTTACCGTGAAGGGCCATTCTTATGTTATGTAGATTAAATAATAATAATTAAAGAAATAATATATAAATAATGCCAATTAACAGGGCTTGCCGAACCACGGCGAGCCCCACTCGCCAGCTGTGCTGTCCGGTGATCTGCCCATGCGGAGATCGTTCTGCGCATGTGCAGATCGCCCGAACCCGGCTCTTCTGGGTTGCAGTCTACTCTCCATGGGCAAGTAGATTGCATTATTTGTCGAGCCCTGCCAGTCAACATGGTTTTGTTGAAAAGAGAGTTTGTCAAACTAACCTGATACATTTTCAATGAACTTGTAAATTTGATTGGAAAAGGTAATAGTGTTTGTAATATACTTAGATGTTTGTCAGGTATTTGTGTTGACAACACAGAGCACCTGGATTTAGAAATTAAAAAGATACAAAATTATCATAGCATACATTAAATTGATTAAAAACTGGCTAAGGAATAAGTCTAAAAATGTCATTTTAATGGGGGAATTGTCACTGAGCTGCTGTTTTGCTTGTGAGGTCCAGCAGGGATTCTTGGCTCTGTGCTATTTAGCATTTTTACCAATGATCTGGAAGAAAACATAAAATCATTGCTGATAAAGTTTGCAGGTGACACAAATATTGGGAGACTGATAAATAATCAAGAGGGAAGGAAACTGATACAGAGCATTTGGGTTGCTTGGTAAGCTGGGCACAAGGAAACAATGTACATTTCAATATAGATAAATCAGTCCTACATCTAGGAACAAGGAATGGAATCTCAATTACAGGATTGGAGAGACTGTCCTGGGCAGCAGTGATGCTGATAAAGACTCATAGGAACAGTTTACCTTGAATTGTGGTCGATTCTCCATCTCTGGCAATTTTAAAGTCAAGATGGCATGCTTTTCTAAAATATACGGTCTAGTTCAATCATAGCTATAGGATCTGAAGCAGGAATTAATTCAGCAAAGACCTATGGATATACAGGAGGCTAGATTAGATGATTATAAAATTACTAGATGGTCCCTTCTGGTCTTGAAATCAATGAATATGGCTACTCTGGGCTGCAATGTAAGTCCAGAGTTAGTAGAACTTGAGTTAGCAGATGTTGGGTTTGTTAACACAGGGCTTGAGCATTTCTACTATTTGTAGCTCTGGGTTTGGAATTGTTGAGCCCTGAATCCCAACCTTGTGTTCCAGTGTCTATATTTATATTGTGCAGGCTTGAGTTGAACTACTTAGATCCCAGACTTCCAAGTCTCTTCCCAAAATGTGACCTCTTCAGCCCTTTGTTTGTGGTGAAGTGTGGGAAAACTTGACTGACCAACAAATTTGACTGTCAAGAGGACAAAAAAGCCCATGAAGCCAAACTGTGGGAATACTTTTGGCAGGCTCCCAGAGCATGAATCCTAGTAGGGCTGTGTTCACACTGCAGAGCAGTGGGGCTTGTACACTGCTTGACTCAGGCATGAACCTTCAAGACCATAGAGTTCAAGCTCTATGGATTTGTGTGTAGATGAAGGAGAATTAGGCTTGAACCTGAGTTTGAACCCTGGGTTTACGCTGAAGTGTAGAAAATGAATGTTTCCATTATTGGTTACTGTTTTTAAGTAGAAAATTGTAAATGACTGTTACTGTAACTATAAATATCTCTTTCCTTTCAGAATTCCAGTACTGTGCAATTAAAGGAATCTTCATTCCTGGGAACTTGAAACTCTGGTAGATTATTTCTGAATCCCTTGATGATTCTAAAATGGAGCCTCTGTCATTCAAAGTTAAAAAACTTCAAGCACCCACTGATCTCTCAGTGGATTTTAGTCTCCAGCTTGTTGGTTCTCTGCCAGTACATTCTCTAACCACCATGCCAATGCTGCCTTGGATAGTGACAGAGATTCGGCGGCTCAGTATGCAGTCTTCCGTAGAAGAACCTAGCACCACCCAAATCCAGCTTTATGTTTCACCAGCAAGCCTGCGATGTGAACTAGACACAGGGAAAAGCCAACAGTGGGATCCTTTGAGTTGCTGCAGCCTGTTTGAGTATAAGCCACAACATGTCCACAAACTGATTCACAATAGCCACGATCCAAGTTACTTTGCTTGTCTGATAAAAGGTGGAGCAGTAAATCAGCAAAGTATCTGTTACGTATTCAGAGCTGCTGATCAAACAAAAGTAAGTAAGAAAGCAATTCTCTTGCTTTGCTCCATAAGATATTAGAAGCTGATTTTTGGGACATGTAAATGCAGAAGAGAAATTAATACTATGCATTTCAAAGTGAGGTAACTTTTCTGATGATTGGATCTTTTCATTACAGTCTGACTTCTAGAAACTCAGTCTTGCAAAGACATAACACAGGGGCTGAACTTACACACACTCAGTTTTACTGTGTAAGGTTAGGCACAAATGTACATCTTTGCAGGATCAGGGCTTAGTTTACAATAAGCTAGTGATAGGGGCTGAAATCCTGGCTCTGCTGAAGTCAGTGGAAGTTTTTCTATTGATGTCAGTGGGGCTAGGATTTCATCCATAAACTGCGGTGGACCTTCTCTAATCCTACATTATATGAGTAGCTTGTGTTCCCTCTGAGAATGCTGTTGTTCTAAAAATAGGCATCCAGTTCTGCTTTTCTTATCCATGTGAGTAATCTGCTAATACCATTTGCTCACATGAGTAAGGTGAGTAAAACTGGGCATTAGGTTTCTGAAGCTGATTAGTAGTGTTCAGTGGGCAAAGCGGTAACACCACTGAGGTATAATTTGCAGTTATTAATATTGGAGGCAAAGCTCGCACTGGACCAAATCCTTCATGCTTTACTCATGAGAATGGCCCCTGAAGTCCCTCAGAGAGATTTTTTGTTTGCATGGGTTCAGTATATCACATTGATCTACCGACAGCTATCTGCTCCGCAGCAAGACAGGGTATAACACCAAACAGAATGGTGCCTGGCTCAGTGCTGGATACATGGTTATGGACACCACTTCAGTTAAATTCCCCCAAGATAAAAAAACAGCTAATTAAACTAACAGCCAAATAGGGCCTAAATTGCAAGTGCATCAGTGAGAAAATACTGTCAAATTTAAAAAGGGGCCACTCAATATGATATAAGATGTATGCATTTAAGAGTGGGAGTAGATGGACTTGGCACTGAGTAGAAAGAAGCTTTTACAAATGGTTATGTACTTCATTATGTGGATTGTGGTTTCGTTAGGATGATAGTTAAAATCTTTCATCACCTCCAGTATAATTTCTTCTTTAACAGAGTGAAAAACAGAATACTATTTTCACTTGCTCGATCTGACTCCTGGAACTGTTTGAAATAAGGGAAGTACAAACATTTGGGGTTACAGTTTCAACTGTGTCCATAGATTTTTGGATGCCAGTGTCTGTGATCATTATTGTTTTAATTTGGAATTGCGTCATCTCTGTTGTGTTTTTCTTTACAGTGTCCATTTATTTTGTCTCTGTGTGCATGTAAGCATTACTGAAAGTTGTGCATGCTTATCAGAGAGAGATCTGTGTATTGAGACAGCAGAGTACCCAGATTGGAAGCACAGCAGTGTGTTAGGATCATTATTGTTTTAATCTGAAATTCTCTCATCTCTGTTTTGTTCTCCTTCAGAAGAAACAAGTATTAGAACTCTTAACTTCTGTGGACTGAGTGACTCAGCAGACTCCTATTCCAGTCCATTAGCTCTCTTGTCCCAGAGGATGCCTTTCAGTGCCTGCAGCATTTGCTCAGAGAAATCAAACAGCAGTTTTCCAGATTTAGATTGTGTTGATATGATCAGCTTCCTCTTTGTTGCCTCAATGGACAAAATATGTACAGCATATTTTTTCTATTTGTGCCTATTTATTTAGGAAAAAACACAACAGTCCAAATTAGCTTGGTGACCGCGTTGAATTACTAAAACTTTGTTGTAAGCCACCCACCTCAGAGCAGGTCTTGAATTTACACTCTATTTACTTTACTTATTTACCAGTCCAGTCTTGCTGAATAAACATTTTGAAGTTATGATCTCACCTTTCTGAAAAACTCAGGCAGAATTTGTTTACATATGAGAAATTGGGCCAAATATAACTTATTAATACAGTGGTTACAGCTGCAGTAGACTTAATTGCTTATTCTCGGTGTTACTTTTCATTATTCACCCCCTAGGCTTTTTCCAAAGTATTGTAATAATTAGGGACATGCAGTGCATTTTATAGGACAAAAGGTCTCTGGTTAAAATGCTATAAGATCCAAGTCCATAAGTATCTCTGTTGCAGCTCTGTTGATAAATCCAGGAAAGGCAATGCTTGATGTAGATCTGTGGTGGGCAACCAATGGGCCAGAACGACATGATGCCTACTGCTTTCGCAGCTCCCTTTGGCCAATAACAGTGAACCACAGCAGTGGGAGCTGTGGAGGGCTGTTCCTGTGGTCAAAATCAGCAGAGTGTGTGGTGGGCCACCAGCAGATTATCCTATTGAGCCTCTGCAGTTTGTCCACCACTGATGGAGATGGAATTCACACTAATACAGGAAGATAGGGCTCCAGCCAAATTGGATTGAAAACCAATCTTGAATTACTGGGAGGAGGAGTGTGTGTGAGGGAAGGGATGGGCCATTGGGTGATGAAGTGGGGCAGAGGGGCCAGGGAAGAGGCAGAGCAAGAGAGGGACCTTGGGGATACAGTTACCAGTATATTAGAATTGTGGCAAGTACCACACCATTCCTGAAATCACCTCACTCTTATTTTTGTTGGACAATTTTAAATGTAAGACTCTTGCTAGGTAACAAATAAAGTAATTTGTTTTTAAAATCACAGAAATGAACAAACACTATATATACTTCACTGGCAGTGGTCCCCAACGCAGTGCCTGGCGCCCGCCGGGGCATTTATGTGCGCCCACCTAGTGACCAGGGCCAGCCCGAGCCATTCTTGCACCTCGGGCACACAGCGCATGCGTGGTGTCTCCCCCGGGCGTGCGACACATGCGCGGCCCCTGCCCCTGGGCTCCCTGCAGCCCCAAAAGGTTGGGGACCACTGCCTCATTGCTTCTTGCATGATCCGTAATTAATTGGTCAGCTGCTTGTGAGCATCAGGGAAGAAGCAAGTCTAAAGGTGGAATTTGAAGGAAAGGGCAGTGGCCTTACATATAAGTTCAGGGAGTATGTTTCACATAAGAGCAGGCTGGACAGAAGAAGGCAGGAAGATGGCTGTGGGAGAAGCAGATAAGGAAGACTAGTATGATTAATAGGCTGAGGAGGGGGCAATGTGGTAAGAGACAAGCATAATTGTGAAGGACTTTGAAGGTGTAAGGGTAAATGGAGGAGAGTATCGGGGAACAGCTACTATATGTGGCATACTTCCTAGGGGACCTGGCTCAGAACCAAGCGAATGTCTGCATATGCAAATATTAACAGCGAGACCTTGGGATTTAGAGCAGGCCTGGGCAAAATATGGCCCATGGGCTAGATGCGGCCCCTCAGGCCACCAGATCTGGCCTAAGGAGACAGGCAGGCTCCCCTGCTTGCCCCGTTCACCCTTAGAAACACAGCTGCCAGGTCCCCTTTCTGTTTCAAAACTGGAGGGAAGAGGGAAAAGCTTCAAGAGCTGCCCCTACCCCCAGAACAATCTCATTGGCTGGTTTCTGGCCAGAAAATGGCCAATGGTAACTGCCTGTTTGAATAAGAGGCAGCCAAGAAGAACCATGCACCCTCTCCTCGGCTCAGTTATTCACATAAGCACATGGCCAGGCAAGGCAAGCTGGCTGGGAAACGTTTTAAGCTCTGCAAGCCTTAGCTCGGCAGGCAGGCAGGCAGGCTGTCTTGGCTACTGGCTGATAAGTCTCCTGGACAGAACTTGCTGCCTCTGCCACCCTATCCACTCCCTTCCCCAATCCTCTTCCCCCCCAATCAATATACCCAAACCCTCTTGTACTCCCTCCCAAATCTGGCACACCAGTCTCTGCCTCAGATCACAATCCCCTCCTATCCTAGGTCACATCCCAAACCCCTGCACGCCAGTCCCCTGCCCTAGGTCACAACTGCCTTCTTCATGCAAACTCCCTCCCAGACTCCAGTCTCCCTCCTGCACCCCAGTCCTTTACCCCAAGCTTCCTTCTGCACTCAACCTCCATCCCAGACCCTGCATCTTCTCCATTAATACATGAAAGAGTGCGGCCCTTGTCCACTTTCCAAAATCTTGGTGTGGTCCCCCTTCAAAAATTATTGCCCACCCCTGGTTTAGAGTGTAGAGTCTTAAAGTACTGTGTACTATGACTGCCAGGGTTCAGTAGGTCATTGCCACAGAGTAAACAGGATCCTCACTGGGCCAGCTTTTACTGAGGCTACTCTTTGCTTGTGAATTAATGAGTCCCTCCTTTTTTTAAGGGAACCCTCTGTAGCTCCTAACCCTTTCTCTGTCTCTGCTCAGCTTCCATAACCTTTCTAGGGCTCTTGCAGAAAGAGAATAGACTAGAACAGGCTCTTGGATGAATCATAGCAAAAAATGAAAGTGTGTGTGAGAGGTTGTGTGAGAGGTTGTATGTTTCATTTGTTTCTCTAGTACTGGGGATGGCAATAATTTTTGGTTGGGGGCCACTCCAAGATTTTGGAAAGTAGTAAAGGGCTGCATTTTTCTGTGGAGGAGATGCATGGTCTAGGATGAAGGTTGGGTGCAGAAGAGCACACGGGGTAAGGGACTTGGGTGCAGGAAACAGTGTGAGGTCTGAGAGGGAGTTTGGGTGAAGGAGCGGGTTGGTCAAGGGATTGAGGTATAGGGTTACGGAGGGAGTATGGGTGCAAGAAAGGATTCTGGCCTGGAGAAGGGACTCTGGGGGGGGTGCAAAATCTGGGAGGGAATTGTGTACTCATAGTGTAGATGTAACCACAGTGCCTCTCCCTGCCTGCAGAGCAGAGAGCCTCATGGAGTGCACTTTAAACCGCAATGGCTGTGTACCTGAGGGTTCCAGCAGGGTGGTCCCCAGGCTGGATCAGGTGGCTTGGCGGACTGGATCCAGCCCCTGGGCTGTATTTTGCCCGCCCTGCTCTTGTGTACCTGACTGGGCTAAAGTTAGTTTTTAGCTATTCTATGGTAAGGGGATTTGGTGGTGCAGTTCACATATTGAGGGAACGCTAGCACATAGCAGTGTCTCTGCAGCACTTCTGTGGAGAGAAGGTAGAGGGAG